CAGGGGTTGGACTAGAACACCTCCAAGGTAGCTTCCACCTCTGTTATTCTATTCCATTCTACTCTATTCTAATCTATTCTAATCCCCAACAAGTTTTCAAAATCTGCACTACACAAATAAACTACAAATTTTAATCAATATATTCCACCTCTTTTTCACTATAGTATTTATTCCATAATGGAAACAAATGATCATCATACAAATATTCTGCATTTCACAGATGAAAAACCAGAAATGATTCATGTAACAGTACTTTAAAAATTGACAGTATAGTAAACTGGAGTGTCTAAATTCTCTTAAGATGTAGGATGGAACCACATAACCACAAGATTACACTTTTCATTCTGAATGCATCAACACCTTTAACAGATGCACTCACACATTATAATCATAATTTCTTGAATAAACCACAACTGGGTAGCCATATATATCATGCCCCAAACCCATGGTTTCCATATAGAAAAAGTTGGATTTTCCCAATAGCTCAAACCACAATGAAATATACATTATAGGTTTAATACAAAACAGGCCTTCCTGTTTTGTATTAAAGAAACCCAGTTACCAAAAGGTAAAATTATCTTTTATGATCAGCACAGACATAAAAATAGTTACAAGGGAAAGTAATTCTTCTTTTGATACTTCCTGCACTTTAATATATTTGTATTTAAATTACTGTGGATTTTCAGAGAAGTATTTTTGCATTCCTTTTCCTCCATGTAACAAAAGTGGGATCTGCTCCATTCCTGGCTGAAATGACTTCATTCATCTCTTGGCGTTAATCATTTCTTTGTTCACATGAAGAGTTTTAAACAGCTACAGAACCCACACTTCTATGTTGTAATTTATTTTCAGGTAGTTGCACTGGCCATGACTGTCTGTCTCCAGTTTTGCAACGTTTACCACTCATACATTTCTCTGAAGGGTGAGATCTAGCCATTGCTAACTACTATGGCAACTACTCAGTAGAATTAAAATTATGCACTCAACCATGAAAATGCCTCTAAAGACTATAAAAAAGTTACAAGCTTTCCAATATACAGTATTTGGATTGATGTCCAGAGTGGGAGTAATAATGTAATATAACTCCTCATAAAAAGCCAACGTCATGCATATATGATTATAAAGTCACTTCATAAGAACATTTAAAGCTCAGAAAGGCTTTAATCTAAGGCACCTGAAAATTGCTTTAGCACACGTCAACTTCTTCCCATGTCCCAAAACTCTATCCTACAACTAAACCTTATTCATGATTCCTTTAACTGAAGAAAAATGAAGTTCTGCTTCCTGATTTTGATCAATACACCACTAAGCCATAAACTGTTTTACCATTATTTATATTTAGTTGGATTAAGATGATATAAAATGCCACAAGCAAATTGCATCATAGTATAGTGCAGTGTATGAACCTAGCTAAAAACTAGTTTGGTTGCTGTGGTTAAAGGCACGGGCGTGGAAATTGTGAGACTGTGAATTCCAGTCCTGCCTTAGATAATAGCCAACTGGATGATTTTGGACCAGTCACTCACTCTCAGTCTGCAAATGGTGACAGTGGCAACCACTTTTAAAACTGTTGCCAAGAAAACTGCATAGATTTTGCCATATAGTGGAAAAGATTAGCTGAACACACAAACACAAAAATCCTAGCCAATGACTTGGAATTCTATTCTTTAAAAAGTCTATCTAATTTAGCCTCTGTTTTTATATTTAGTGCCATATTTTTCGGAGTATAAGACGCACTTTCTCCCCCCCTAAAAGAGGTGAAAATTTGGGTGTGTTTTATACACCAAATATAGCCCGCCCACCCACCGCCCTCACCCTTTGTCCTTTGCCTCCTGCAATTTACCTCCATACAGCAAATGGAGAAAATGGGGTTCGTGGAGGTGACAATAGGCTATGGCAATCCCTGCAGCTTGAAACAGCTGATCATTGGGAGGCCCCTGCTTAAACTGAAATTGAAACTTGCTATTTGCTGCAAGGGGCAAATAATGTTTTCTTCCAGAAAGCCACATAAATTTTAACAGCATCTGTACAAGTATAGTCTGAAATGTAACACCACAAACAGTGTATATCTTCTGTACTGTTTACTGTTTGCTGCAAGGAGGCAAATTGCTAGGAAGCAGAGGCAGATTTTCCCCCTTGTTCTCCTCCCCAAAAGCTAGGTGCGTCTTATACTTCGGAGCATCTTATATTCCAAAAAATACAGTATTAATTGAATATTTTTTATCTAAATAGATGGTTTTACAATTTATTTTAATTTTATTATCAGCTCAAGTTTAACTCAGCCTTCCATCCAAATTGGGTTCTTAGGATTGGGAGCAAGATATGATATTATGGCATATACCACATACAGTTTTTGTAGAAATGTGTATTCTCCTGGAGAGTTGCTCCTATCAAAGAAATAACTGAAATAATACAGAGATTTATAAGTCTTCCCCCAGCAAATCAAGCATATGAGCCATGGTAGCACAGTGGTTAGAACTGACTGCTAGCTACACTTTGGCAGTTCAATTGCCACTAGCTCAAGGTTGACTCAGCCTTCCATCCTTCCGAAGTCAGTAAAATGAGTGCCCAGATTGTTGGGGGCAATATGCTGACTCTATAAACCATTTATAGAGGCTGTAAAGCATTTTGAAGTGGTATATAAGTCCAAGTGCTATTGCTATTTTATTTATTCATTATTATTAGTTACTTTACAAGATTATGTAGCATTAAAAACAACGTTTATATAACTATCCTTGTGGCTTAGAATTGCAACCAATAAAATGTTATTTTACACATTCAATTACAAAAGCAGGTTTCTGTATAACTGTCACATACATTTACAAAATTGACACTTCTACCAACAGTAGTTGTACATGTACATGCACTATGAGTAGCTTCCCTCCTTCTTACATACAATTTTAATACATACTTGCCCTATTTATTACATTTGCTATTTTCTAAGAAAACATCACCCATAATATATCTTCATTAATACTCCCAATATTTTCCAAGTCAACTATAAATTCTTTATTTAAAAAAAAAACAAATGTGCAAACATAGTGGAAAAATGCTGATAAAAAAAGGGAAGCAAGCCTGCCTATACAGCAGAAGGAAAAAAGTTCAAGGAGCAACGGGTCCACGAATATGTGACATCAGCTTTAGAAAATTAATAAAATTAGTTTTTCTTTTTTATTTATATTAGATATAAATCTGTCTTTTCAATAGAATGCCAAGGCAGTTTACATAGTATTCCTCCTTCAATTTGATTCCACAACCATAAACCTGTGAGATTCATTGGAATGAAGCAGTGGCTAGTCTACAATCTGGCAATCGGTTTCCATGGGAGAGGGAAAACCTGAATCTGTTTCTCCAGTCTTAGACAAATGCCATAACCATCATATTTCTGACTGCCTATTTTTGTAGTGATTAAAGGTAAAGGTTCCCTTCACATATGTGCTAGTTGTTCCCAACTCTAGGGGGCAGTGTTCATCTCTGTTTTTAAGCTGACAAGGCAGCGCTGTCCGAAGACATCTCTGTGGTAATGTGATTAAACACCGAAGGCGCACGGAACGCTGTTACCTTCCCATCAAAGGTGGTCCCTAATTTTCTACTTGCATTTTTACATGTTTTAGAACTGCTAGATTGGCAGAAGCTGGGACAAGTAATGGGAGCTCACTCTGTTACTTGTTCTAATATTGGGCTTATTTGATCTAACAACATTAATCCATGCTCCTGATAGTCTCAACCTTACCACAGCTGATATCACATTTAGTATTACTATTTAACACCTCAAGGATGCAGGAAGTGGTTACTGTGGAGAAGAGAGAACAGTCTGTTTAGGTGACAGTTAAAGTAAGTGGTTGCATAGGTATGAAGGAGGATCAGAGGAAAGAGAGTCAGAACTAAAGTCAGAACAGTAAATGTTGAGGGACTTTGAGAACGAGGGGGAAGCTATAAGCAGAAAATATAACGTGGGACAAATCTTGCTTTGCAAAGAAGATAATGGGAGGAACACCTTGTGGCTGAATTTATAACCTGGCCACTAAGTTAACTCAGTTTCTGAACAATACATCAGCTGGGTTCACACAACATTGTGAGCCCCAAAGAACTCGTACTTGCATCCAGTACAACTCCAAGCTGAAGAAAGCTAAAGCAGAAGGGTTAACGGGAGAGAAAAAGAGCAAGGAATAAAATAGTTTGGGGGTGGGGTTTAAGACACAAACATAAGAAGGAAAAAAAACTCATGCCTCCAGAAGGGGAACAACTTGTTCCAGAAGAGGAACAACCAGAAGTTGTGAATGCTCCAATACTGGAAGTTTTTAAGAAGAGGTTGGATAACTATTTGTCTGAAGTGGTGTAGGGTTTCCTCCCTAGGCAGGGGGTTGGACTAGGAGACCTCCAAGGTCCCTTCCAACTCTCTTATTCTATTCTATCCTATTCTATTCTGGGAGGGAGGAGAAGCACCAGCTGTTTGGGAGAATGGAAGGAAAGAAAAATGCAGGAGTCACTTGAAAGGCGGGGAGGAGAGAAGGGGACTTCGATGGGGACAGAGACCGCAGTGATGGGCGGCTGAAGCCAGAAGTCGTTGCGAAAAGGGATGGTGCCCAAGGAGGTGGCGACGCCGCTGGGGCCAAGGAGAAGAAGGGACCGGGAGCCAAGTAGGAAGGCAGCGGAACCGGAGAGGGAGAGGTATGGTAAAAGGGGGGCTTCGAAAGGATGCGGGCGAGGAGAGCGACGAAGAAGGATAGGAGAAGACGACGAAGGGCTGGGTTCAGGAATTGCGCGGGGAGGGGAAGAAGCGCCTGTGGGAGCTCGAGGGGTTCCGCTCCTTCCATGCCCTCCTCTTTCCCTCCCTCCTTCCTTCCTTCCCTCGCTCCCTCTGCGGCCTGCATTCCTCCCCGCTTCCCACGCCCCCCTTTTGCACCCAGGTCGAGGCAGAATTAGCAGGCCGCGCCTCAGGCCGGCGCCGGCTCCCCACCCGCACAGCTCCCACCCGCACCCGGCCTTCCCTTCCTCACCCGCCGTCGGCTCCGAAGCCGGGGTCTCCCCGGGCTGGGCCATGACCGAGCCAGCTCGTCCCCGTCACGCCGAGGCCGGGTCCGCTACGTCAGGAGACGAAGCCGAACGCATCTTGACAGGCGGAGGGGGCGGGGAATCGGCGGCGGCGGGAAGGAGGGAGCGCGAGCGGCCGCGCATGCGCCCGGTGGCGCCGTAAGCTGTGGGGAGAGTGGGATGGGAAGTGTGAGGTACAGTGCCGAGGGCTCGCAGCTTAGCGGAGGTGTAGAAGCTGCACCTGCAGGTCCCTGCTATCAGGGCGATGGAAGTGGCTGCTGAATTGGGGAAAACTGAATTAAAAAGCTGGGATGAAGATGAAGTGTGTTGTTGGGGGTGATGTGTTTTGGAATAAAAGGTTGCATTTAGCTGGGTTCACGCGTTACGTTAATGGCTTAGGGCAGCGCCGGACAAACTGTTTGCAACTGGGGCCAGATTGCTTTTTTGGAATTAATCTCTCATGGTGACGATGCAGTGATCCTGCTGGAGTTGGAGACCACAGACGTAGAAATCATCATCATCATCTCCTCCTCCTCATTATTATTATTAGGTGGTTAATCTTTGGTGAGATTCACAGCCTTTGGGGCTGGTTGGTAGCTCAACNTTTTTTATTGTGTTTTCTTTTCTTACCCTGTATATAAGTGATTGCAAAATGGAATGTGAAAATGAATAAAATATATTTCAAGAAAAAAAAAGCTAACATATTTCTTGATTCCTTCTCACATTATAGAGAAAAATGGCAATCCGTGACACATGCATACATTTTGTTTGATCTTTTAAAGTATTATAATAAGACAACCTCTCCAACTACCTTTACTTGACTCTAATTTGTATGAACATTTCATTTATTATCTATAAAAATGTGGATAAAAATGAAAGTGACTTTATTTTATGGAGAAAATGAACTTTACAGCATGAGGCTTTGCACGATTAATTAATAGATCTCATTTGATTACTAGCACTTATTTTTGCATGGTCATGCTATAACTCAGAGAAGATCCAAGTGTTTTTATCCCTGTTAGAATCCTCATAGCCTTTTCCTCTCTAGTAAAGTCCAGGTCAAGTTACACATGTCTGCAGAATAATTTCATTTTTCTATTCTTATCAGCAGATGTCATCTTGTGGACTTTTACCCATGTCAGACTCTTTGTCTTTCTCTAGTACTATGTAACTAAGACTTTGTTTGAGATACATGAAAATGATATATGGTTGCTCTTGCACTATTTATCATTAAGAAATCCTTCGATGAAATAAACCAAAGCATGTATAATGTTGCTGGGAGGAAACTTTGGCCTCAGATAGTTAATGATTTCACCAATTTTTCTGCTATTGCTGAGAATGTCAAACACGTTGAAACTTCTGCTCAACTACCGGTAGGCAAGGGATTCAAGTATAAGCAAGCAATGTTAATCAGCTCCCTGGTCTCATTCTTGCAGCCAAAGAGTGTATCAAGCATGGATGAAAAAAAGCAGAAAGATGATCCCAAATAAGAGCTGACTGTCAATTTCAAATAAGCGGCTGCAGCACACAACTGGCTGATCAGATTGGAGACTGATGCTTTTCAGAAATACAGCATCGTTTAGTGGAGCAATGAATGCCAACAGATGTGATGGGAAGATAACAGTTAAAGAACACAAACTCAATTTACAATTATGAAATGAAGCCAAATATTATGAAAAGAAAGACTAGGGGAGACATGATAGCAATGTTCCAATATCTCAGGGGATGCCATATCCTCTGAGAAGAGGGAGTCAAACATTTTCCAAAGCATCTAACGATAGGACAAGAAGCAATGGGTGGAAACTAATCAAGGAGAGAAGCAACTTAGAACTGAGGAGAAATTTCCTGACAGAATAATTAATCAGTGGAACAACTTGNTAAATTTTCACCCCCCAGCCCGAGTGATGGAATACTGGCCAAATTCTTGGGAGGAAAACACAACAGCCATTCCACTCCTGCTGGGAATAGCAGTACTCTATACTACAGTGGCGCAGTGGTTAGAGTGCAGTACTGCAGGCTATTTCTGCTGACTGCCAGCTACCTGCAATCTGGCAGTTCGAATTTCACCAGGCTCAATGTTGACTCGGCCTTCAATCCTTCTGAGGTGGGTAAAATGAGGACCTGGATAGTTGGGGGCAATAGGCTGACTCTGTAAACTGCTTAGAGGCCTGTAAAGCACTATGAAGTGGTATTTAAGTCTAAATGCTATTGCTATACTGTAGCTCTCCCATTTGTGCACTGGATCCCTGGCCCTCCTGGGAAGAGATTTGAAGCTGGATCCAGGTTGTAGTCAATGCTTCTCTGAAGGAAGAGGACATTCCAGCCACTCCTCAAGAAGACTGTCCTGGATCCCAGGGGAAAAAAACATCTTTCATCTTATATGCACCCACCTTTTTTAAACAGGCTTGGGAGAAAATAGTAGGGCTCTACCAGTCTGAATTTAAGCTTGGCCATGTGAAAGCAGGAAGCATCACATCTTGTGCTCCTTAGCAGTTTTTGATAATGTCCACCAGTGTTCTTCTGAATGGTTGATTCCATTTAGCTTCCACATTCCACATTCCACTTTTCATCCATTCCATTTTAAGATTAGTGTTATTTTTTTAAAATCACAATACAGTACTTACTAGGCAAGGGCCCTTCACCTGCTGTTTTTCCTTGTATCCACCATGCTTGAAATCTAGAGCTATTATTTATGAATTTTCTGACCTCAGTTGGGTTAACCATAATTTAAGAAAAAACCATTTTTTAGGGATCACATACCACTGAACTAGTAGCTTGTAAAGATGTAAGCTAGGTGCAAGATAAAATGCAGTTGGCTAGCTTATTCAGTGTTCATCATATGTTCATCATCTACAAATTATGAAAATTCATCTGCATTTCTACAAGGAACAAAACTAAATTTCGTTGATTTTTTTTTCATTCCCGATTCAGCCAAAGGTGTTATATCAAACCTTTAGGGTCTCCCATATCTGAATGTTAACCTGGCAAAGCCTGTTATATAAAATGTGAACTTAGGCATAGTTTTGTTGTTGTTGTGCTGGTAATTCCAGATTCCCCAGGGATTGTTCTCTGCAGTTTTCCAATAAAATAATAAATCAAGTCTGTCAATTTATAACTTTAGAACTGTATCTCATAAATGCCCAAAGACAATGTCAGTTCTTTTTTTATCCCCACCCTTATTCTAATAAAATCAGAAATAAAAATGATGCATGTACATTGCTAAGCAAAGACATATTTATTAGCATCCTTCTTATTAATGCCATTTTGTTTGGAAACTTAGGTAAGCCCCAGGATTTTCATGAGAGACTGGTATATACATTTTAAACTGCCAAGGATCATTCCAGCAACTGCTCCATAAATTTGGTTTTCATCCTGAAACAATAGTTTGCTTGCAATCATAAATTATCTTAATCTGTCCTGCCTCCCAGATATTTTATGTGATTGAAAATCTTTGCCAAAAAAAAACATTTATAGAAGTTATAATTTCCCTCCTCTTGTTTAAAAGGTTCCATGTGGGTGCATGTTCTGAATAGATGGAAAGCAGATGAGACACCTCCCCAAATGCCAAAAACAAATGTACTAGTAGTTAATGTTCCTGCATTGTCTATAAGTTGAAATAGATTCAAAACTCATGATCTCATTTGAAAGCTGCCCATATTAACAGTCTGAAAGCACTCTTTCATTCCTCTGTAAGAAGTGTTCACCAAAGACTTGATATGTCATGAGCCTGAACATTTTGTTTCTTCCTGCAATATCAATATATATCAATATATCAATATATCAATATATCAATATATCAATATATCAATATATCAATATATCAATATATCAATATATCAATATATCAATATATCAA